CCCATTCTGTGCCAGTTATATAACAACAGTTAAATCACAATCAGATGAATTTTGTTTAGTTAAAAAACATTTTATGTCATGTTTCTGTCATGTCTGGGCGCTGTGAAGCAAACATTTTTGGCAGACAGTTGACCCAGGTGGTGTTCACACAAATTTTCCCCTCACAGACTTTCATATCGAATTAACAAGCTACATTCAAGCAAGTTCAATAGCCTCTGTGCCGCTGGGTTTGAGTTTGTCAGATACTCCGTTGGGATAGAGTTCTGTCCTTCATTTTTTTTTCTTCTTCTTCTTTCTAGCTGTCCAGATTTGTTGTATTTTTCATTTTGCCCAGCTGTGTTTCCCAGTGGGTCTGTCATTCAGACCTTCTTTTCAGCTGACCTCTAACCTGCTGTATATACTTTGAGATGAATGAATTTATATCAGGGCCAGGGATACTGTTTGATTTCATTTCAGCTTTTTTTGGTTTCAATGGAAAGAAAAGTGAGTCCTGGGAATTAATACAGGATTATATAGTATATTTTCAAGTGACCTTCAGAAAGTTTTATTCAGGTAGAGCAGAATGTGTACGGCTACACATAGAAAGCTTTAACCAAGGCTTGGGTAATTCAACAAATCATCTTTAATGATAAAATCAGTTATAAACTAAATCAGTTTATTTAAAAAAACAGACTGAAGTTGAATTTAAGAATGCAAGAGTGAATCTTTGCCTTTTTGAGGACTGCAGTGTATTAAATCCTCTTGGGAGACACAAGCATTAAAATAAATACTCTGCTACATATATTTGCATATACCAGTTATATATCCTAATGACAAAAAACTGCTGACATAAGGCTTGGGAATGATTGTTGAAAACAAAACTCCTGCAGTTTTTTTTCTTTGGTCTGAACCAGAAGAAATATTTTTTATGGATATGTCCCGTGGAATTGCAACATCCCACTTCAATAATAAATGGAAGTTAACAGGCGCATGAAAAAAACAGTTAACCATTTGGAAAAACTGTAAACTAAGATTAAAATAAAGCCAGTCGATCCATAAACACAGATGTTTATTGCTATCTCTTGATTTACATGCATGGCTCACAAAATACTCAAAGTCTGCAGAACCTTTAATGAGCACACTCAGCGCTGTTTAGTGAGCTGTAAGCGTTGTGTCGTTTCATTTGTGTGTTAGTGTAGGTTGCGTTTGTCTGCTTTGTTTTATTCCATTTATGTGTGTGCTTACAATTGCCCATCTGTAAAAATGAGCACTTATCAAAGATTTGGTGCTTTTAGTGTCAATGCACAAATGAGCCTTCATATTACTGCAGCATGAAACAAACTAATTCTAGAGTTTCTCTTTTTTTTTGTTTATTTAGACCCTTGATATATATATAAATTTAGGAGAAATAGTTACTAACAGTTACATGTCAGTGATATGGAGTGGCTATGGAAAGTACCACAATAAAGACCAGCTCTAAAAGTTTTGTTGTGTCAGTATTTTTTTGCGTTGTCTTGCTTTTTTTTGCACTGAGAGTGAACAACTGTTTTATCTATATGATAAACCATCCTAACTTGCTCACCCTAAATGAACTCATTGGCTCTGATCTTTATCACCAGCAGTACAGATTAAATAAGCACATTGGCAAAACCCTGACATCTTTAAGACTTTATAGGCAATTTCATGCATTTAATCAAACTAAAAGAGCACACAGCTCTTTATTGTATTTCAGTGACACAGTAACACAGATGACAGGTCACACTACATCTGAGAGCAGTCATACAGTATATTTATCACATTATGTATATTACTGCAACAGTTCAGCATACTTCAGTGCAGTGAAAGCTACACTCAGTCCAACTCTGCAGACATCCTTTGAAGAATTAGCGGCCAGAAACAACCTCAGTGTAATAATGCTGCATTTTAACATATGCAAATGTAACTATTCCTTAAAATATTGGGTGATTTATTGTTTTAGGGCATATTGTTTTAAATACTATATGATAATAAGTGGCTTTTATTTATTTTGTACCATACCTTACATGTTTACAAGTACTTTATCAAACCCTCTGGGTACGATTTGGCACAGACGACATTGTATCAGTGATTCTGTTACCTGCCAGCACAGTGCTAAGCAAAAACTAAAAAGACATCAAAATTTTTACTAGCCTCTATACCCTCATACATAATATTGTCCTAATAGCACAGTTTCTTATGAAAACCCTGAAGTAGCTCAGTCTTTCTGTACGAGGATCAAATGCGAGGAATGTCCGAACTGGGCACATGGTTGGCAACAATCTGACTCTGGAAAAGAGGCTGGAGAAACAGGCCCAGGGTTCCCACCACACACACTATCACAAAGATCCACAGAAACAGACGATCCACTACCATGGCCACATACTTCCAGTCCTCTATAACCTGCAAAAACACAGAAATCAATAAAATAATTTCAGTTAGTCAATGTACATGGTTCTTCATGCTGATATTTTTTTCAAAGTATAATATTGCAGAGCAGTAAGATTAATTAATACTGATAGAACGTGTTGAAATATAGAAACCAAATGAAGACAATAAATTTAAAAAAAGCAAATGCTTGTTAGTTTTAATGGAAAACATTATATTCTATAAAACATTTCTTCATGCATTTCATGCAACAAGGTAAAACCCTTAAAGGATCGGTCTCCATAGTGCTGCATTCTGTACATTGGAATATCTATTGACCCTTTCACCTCATCATCAGTGCTGTCCGTAGTGGTTTTTGAAACGAGCTATTTCTCATTCCTGGTTTCCTCCCTATTGATCTGTTATTGATTTGCTGGTATCTATTGATTTGAAGGGAGAAAGTGAATGATAAAATCAAAATCTGCCTTCAGTTTGGTGAGTTACAGCCACTACTTAGGGTTAGTAGTTTTCTCTCCTACACCTCAAGCGTCCTGGAGTGTGAGGAAAATGTTATAATTTGAGTACAAATGGCTGTGACCCAGTTTATTGTGACCAGGCTACGTGCTGGCATCTGACACCTGATATATTATATATAACAACAACAAAAAAATGCAAACCACCTAATTAGTTCCATATTCTGTTTACCTCACCTAATGAATGAATTGGAGGTAGACTGCAATTAGCTTCATAATAAATGTGGTTGAACTAACGTTATTTCCCCAGGCAAAACTGGTGATAGCAATAATGGCACTGTAGACAGATTGATGGTGATGCTATTCCCACAACAGAGGCCCATCAGGACCATCATGTTATTCCAATAAAGAGAATAACAAATGCATGAGTCTTTCTATCACATGAAATCTAAGCATCCACTTCACATACAAAGATTAGTATAAACTAAACTTATAAAGTTATATTTATCTGCATGTAAATTCTGTGTCATTTGTTCCAAAAGTAACACGCATATGTGGACTGTCAGAAATGTCACCTTTATATCACTCTTTTTGTTAGCATTATAAACCCATGCTGTGAACAGATCAATATCTAGATAGGTTAGCTTAGTTAGTCAACAAATGGATTTCTGAGGTCTACGCCTGCATTATGATTTATGGTGTATGTTTTTTCACCTTTTTACTCTCCTGATTAAGAATGTTTTGAAAAAAGGACAATATAAAGCTCTTCTAGATGCCGACAACAAAGACGCTCAGCTGGTTATTAAATGCTGAAATGTTAGCAGACTCAAAACAAAACCTCAACTCAGTTAAAAACATCACATTCCGTTGCGCATCCACATCAGTCAAGTTTCTCCACAGGTTGCCTTGTCACTGTTGCACTGTTGTTGCTCGTGACATCTTTACAGCGCAGAGCTTACAACCGATTGTCTCTTTTATGATATTAACATATGCAACCAGAGTAAACTTAAAAACTTCACCTTATTTGTAAATTTCTTTGTAGGTAGATATTTAAACTTTAGGGCCCAAGTTGTTTACTTCTGCTGCCACACATGGTAAGCTAAGCTAATTGCCTTCTGGGTCCAGCCCAAATGTTAAACTCTGGGGATTTTAAAGAAAAATCTAATAAGATCCCAAATGCACAAGTTTAGAGCAAAAACTATGCTTACAGTCTGGACCCAAAATAATTGGTCTCTGTCGCTGGCTAAGTTATGAGTCCATGACAAAGTATTTTCTGTATTTTTTTTAATACTTCATCAGGTTAAGTTTATAAAGTTTGCATTCTAATGGGGAGGCCTTTGAGTAACAGTTGGATTGCCAATACATAAAGTAACTGACAGCAGACATCTGCTAGGCTTCACTTGAGTTAAGCTGAGACATTGAACTTGACCTTTTGTGTTAGAGCCTTGTTGATCCTTTTTAATTACACTATCATGACTCTTAATTGTACAAGGAAAATATATGTTTATATAAATGGTAAGACAGCTGTAGAACTGGCAAGTACTAAGCATGCTTATGCTTAATATTTTAAGGCTCACAAGGGACTGCACAATACACCCTCAAAAAGCAAACGAGTTATACTGTATACATACTGCTATAGTAATAAATATTAAAATAGCTACAGTCACTATATAGAATATGAAATAATAGCCAGGTGAAATATGTGCTACAAAAAGTATACATACACTCTGATCATCATCATCTCCCATCATGTGCTCAGCCACAAAGCACACCCCATTCACTGCCTCCTGGATATCAGCAGCCCAGTCTGAGTTGTCCCTGTGTTGGAAGTCCTGGGTGGATGTGAAACTAGTGGGAAGAAAATCAGTAGAGCGCTGCTCTCCCTTCCTATAGGAGTGACTGTATCCTGCTGGAGGAGTTATATTTTTGTGTCCTGGTGTAGAGAAGGCAGAGTCTGAAGACAGCAGCGCAGAAGCTGACATGGTGATATCTGTCTTGGATGCAACTGGATATCCCAAGCCCAAAATGGTTCTTTTAGCTCTTAAGCATCGATGCTGACGCAATCTTTGGCGTGCAGACTTGTTATGAGGGCGCCTCATGAAGAGTAAGGCAGGCAATTTCTCAAGAAATATCAGCTTGACCCAAGAAGGCATGGTATGGGTGCTAGGAGAGCGGTGGTGCACGTTGAGCACGCACACACTGGTGATGATGGAGAAGGTCACCAGGACCATGGTGAACATCAGGTATTTGCCAATCAGGGGAACATCTAATGATGTTGGAGGAACAATCTTTGAGATTAAAAGCAGGAACACGGTGAGGGCCAGAAGTACAGAAATGCACAGGGTCATCTTCTCTCCACAGTCTGAAGGCAAGTAGAAGACTAGAATGGCCAAAGAGGTGATCAAAACACATGGAATGATGAGGTTTATGGTATAAAAAAGTGGCTTCCGCTTAATGATAAAGTCATATGTCAGATCCACATAAGTGGGATCCAGAGGGTTGACAGTCCGTCTCCCTGGCAGAGCTAAGATATCCCACTCTCCACTGGGAGTAAAATCATCCATACTAGCCATCTCAGACTTTAAGATCAGGTCAATCTCTGTATGGTCATATGTCCAAGATCTGAACTTGAGAGTGCAGTTCTGCTGGTCAAAGGGAAAATGTTTGACTTCGATTTTACAGGCGCTTTTATAGATAGCCGGAGGAAGCCATTCGATGCTGCCGTTGAAAAGGACGATGACATTAGTGAACACCGTTACCTCATAGGTTCCGTCAGCACTATGAGAACAAGAGGAAATAGAAAGAAAACAGCATATAAATTGGCCTTTAAAGCTATCATTATCAAAATTATAGAAATTTACGGTAAAGCTATTTTTAATAATGTGTAATAGTGGCATTAATTATTTTTAATAAGAAGATAATTGTTAAAGATTCAGTTAATCACTAAAGCAAATGCACAGACATTCATTAATGCAGAAAGCCAGTAAATATATTGATAGAGGACAGAAACCAGGAGGGTGAAAACATGAAATATAACTCTATGATATGACTGACTTTTCACTTTTTTTCACTTTATTTATTCATTTTACAATAACGCTGTTACAGTTCCATCCAAAATGTTTGATAAGGGCATCAGAGGATATTTACAAGTATTTTACAAATTAATAATATCTTTTTTATTTAACACCAGCAATGTGCAGACAGAAACTCTCCTCAAAATACAAACTGAGAAGTCAGCCGAGCTTACTTGTTGTACAGGACAATATCCGGAAGCCACACATGTCTGGAGGGAATGCGCAGTTTGACAATACCTTCATACTGTGCAGGATCCCATGACAACCTGTAGTCCACCCAGTGCTGGAGAGACAGAGGGACCCAAGCATTCAGTGCACTTTCCCAATAGCAGTTCATTTATAATTACATGCTACATTATCTGTAAATTATGTTTGGGGCACAATTACAGAAGCGGTTTGTTCCACATAGAGAGAGGAAGAATGGATACGGATACGATTCAAGTTCAAGATGAAGGACATTTAACACACATTCTCACTCAGTACAAGACAAAATGCTTCATCACACCTACCTGAGTGAGCCAAACATTTGTGGTCATGATCTGTTCCCTTTCATTCTGAAAATGAAATATTAGGGGAAAATTACCTATATTGGTAATACAAGTTTAAGACCCAGACACTGGCCCTAGAGAAGTAGGAACTCGTGTATGACATTTACTCTTTTTATATTTTTGTTTTATTTAATTAAAACATGAAGAGCTGAAGACCTATTGGGGTATAATAATATTTAAACAAAAACTGGAAATTATATGCTTCTGCAATTTTATTTAAAAAATAAAGAAAGTCCTATACTGATTTGAGTCATGGTTGGACCTTCCTGTTTACTGTCATGTTTACTCTGGCATCTGGTTAAAAGTAACCTTTAAAAAAAGAACTGCACTGAAACACTCCTTTCATCTCAGATTGCTTGTTAACATGTTTTTGATTGCACTGTCATCAAATTGCCGTGACATACACTTCCAATAAAGTGACACCAAATGGTAATTACCCCAAGGGGTACAATGCAAACTCATAAACAGAAGCCGTGAACGAGCCTTGCTGCTTTAGTCTGCAGCTGGGAGGACCCTCCACTGTAAATCAGAGAAGAGCCTCTATCACTGTGGCCAAAACAGTTTTATGGCCCCTTTTAATCCAATGTGCTGAAGTTTCAATCTGGACATGACAGAGGCAGACATCACGGCTGACCAGATCTATCCTCAGCTTCATCCATCCATTTAGAGCTATGGCTCTTCAGCAGAGCTTGCTCTTTAATTAACTACTTCCTCAAAGCTCTTTTTTTTTGTCTCTTGCTGTGTGCTTTCTATTCATCTTTCACACTTAATTTCTCTTTATATCCTGTTGTGTCACCATCACAAAGTCTCTAACATAGAAATGTAAATATGTATACATACTTCTTAAAAATAGGCTAGAGTACACACTTACCACACTGATGAGCTGTGCCAGAGACACTTGCAGCTTTACTGTGACTCTCTCGGTTCTGTTGACAGCTGGGCGAATGAGGGGATTGTAGCGATCTTTTCCCAGCAGCCAGTTCATGAGCCGCTCTTCGGAGTCAGCGCTGCTGCTACCTGGTGACATCACACTTTTCTTCAACATTTATGTACACACATCCACCTCATCTCTGTCCAGACAACTTAATCCCAATAAAATGGAGAGACTATAATCTCAAACAGAGATTGGAAAATAATCTTTAACAGCTTTAGATCAATAATAAAGAGGAATGAATGAGATCACATTTTTTTTAAATACTTATATTTTATAAAGATATATTACATTATAAATAATCTACAATATACAGTGTAATACACAAATCAGTTAAAGACAAAAATACCTTATTTAAATACAACAGAAAAAATTAAGACTACATTGTAGTAGGAAATGGGCATTTTAGGTGAAAAGAGAGATTCATTTTTCTCTATTATTGTTGTGAATAGCCAGTACTTTCAGTGTACAGTATTTAGAAACAAAACATAGAAAAAAGAAGTGTAAATCGAAAGATTTCTTTTAAAACTGTGTTAAAAGCTTGTATTTTTAAGTTTGTTAGGTTTCTATAAAACCTCACACATGAAAGCTACACTGTTTAATGGGAAGTTGAAGATTTGGGATGTGATTGGTTTTGTGTTTTTAGTAAAAGTGCTTGAACTGATGGTGCCACAATACACAATCTACCACCCTGGCATGAACACACTTACTATATATATTGTTAGATACCTTCCAGCTTTAACACTAATCTAACCACACTCCTGTTTTTTGTTTTTTGGGGGGGTCTTTTTGGATTAACATGACTTAAGTACTTGCTTAAACTCTGAAATTCTAAGCGAGATAAATGAGGATTGCTTCAGTCACAGCACAGCATGTTTAATTTTTAAGGAAGGTAGAATTACACATCTGTGGGTTTGCTTTAAGCAAACATGAAGCAAAAGCACAATTATTAACACCCAAATATGTAAACTAGGAAGGTTGGGGTTTACTGGAAATTACATAAAAATGTCACAAAGTCCCAAAAAGTCATTTCCCAAAAAGGTAATCACATTTTGTAGAAGGGCAGATATTTTCACAGCATGTTAATAACTGCGCTTTTGTAACAGCTTTGCTTAAAGCAAACCACAAATGTGTATTTTAAGCAAAAATAAACTATGAATTCCAACACATGAACTCAGCCTTCACTCCTATTCCTGATAAATAATGTCTAAGTAAAGTGTGAAGGCAAGGCTGATTAAAACAGATGGTCAGTTCTCTTCTGAAGCAGAAAGGATACGTGTAAGACTAGCTCATCTATTTTCTTTACTTGCAGCTGGTTATTGATGTCCCCACAAGGTTTGGAGTTGCTGACTTGACTTATGTGCAGCGAATGCTCTAGGAAAGCAAGACTTGTACTAATGTGCTCATTGAAGAAAACTTGTTGCTTTTATCACTAACTACAAGGGCAAAATTCATGGTTCAAATAGTAAGTCTTTGCGTTGATTTTTCATAAAATGTAGTCAGATATTAATAAAAGCCACAAAAATATATCTGCCTAAACTGATAGCTTACAATGGCTGGTAATTCATCGAACACACTGACTAATCATTAACATTCAGGGCAAGAAAAAGTATTTGCACTTCTGTGCTGATTACTTCTTCTAAGGCTTATTGGGAGTTCGGTTTTTCACAGCACTTTAAAAGAGGCATTATAGGGATACACAAAGCTGGAAAGTCTACAAAAGCTGTTCTAAAGACCTGAGCATTCAGTTATTGACAGGTAGATAAATGGTCTACAAATGGTATTCTCCTTAGGAGATCCTAAGGAGCAAAGATTGCACCAAATGTGAAAAAACAGTAGCAGCAAAAAAATCAATAAAATACAGAAATCTCCACTCGAATAAAAGACTGCCACACTACTCTCAAAATAATAAAAAACAGTTTTAAAACTTTACACCTCTTAACAAGATGGCAAACACTTATCTGGAAATTTAACTGAGACAATGTCACCAATGAGAGCAATGAGACAAAGTTTACATTTTCTTTGGAGGAAAAAATGTGCACCACAATCATGGTGGAACACTTCATGATTTGGGATTTCTTTATTATCCTATCCTATCCTTTGTTCAAGATTTTTAGGTGAATGTCAGGGCAGAAGTTCATGACCTGAAACTCAGTGTGGGTAATGCAACAAGACAGTGAGCCTAAAACAGAATGATGGAGAAAAAAAATCCATATTTTGGAATAGTAAAATCAAAGCCCTGACCCGACCTTAATCCAACTGAGATGCTGAGGGCTGACCTAACAAGGGCTGTTAAAACATCCTAGAAATACAGCTGCACCAAACAGCATTGTAGTGACATATTGTCCAAAATTCCTCTCAAAAGTCTCATAAACAGGGTCATTTTTTGTTAACCTGAATTGCAAATAAACAGATAGACCTGTAGAAAAGATTTAGGTATATGTCTCGTAATAAATTACAAATAAATAAGCCCACTTTTACACTTTTCTTATGCAATATTATTCTAAGAATTAAGTATAAATTAATTGACTTTTGTCCTGAAAATTCAGAAAGTCTCTTGCTGTTGTTACATGATGTGTTTAATAACGATATTGAGAGCACAAGGGTACATGGTTTATTAGTTTAGGCACTTTATGTGTAGCCAGTTCAGCAATCCTTTTCCAAGACTTTTTCTTGCAGCTACATGTGATGACGGTGTGTGGTTTTAGAAACAGTATCCAGCTGTGTGTGTCATCATCAACTCACAGACTCCTGCAGCTTTGCAAGGTGTGGCGTAATATCAGTCTATCCCCCACAGGTCATTGAATAATACCATGACTGTGCCTTTATCAGACACTCGACCAAGATCCTATTCACCACAGCAGGACTTCCATACCACCACTGAGCAGATGGTATGTGGTTCAAAGTTCTTGGAAGCCAAACTCAAACAAGTTCCTTCTTCCTCAGACCTAAAGACTGCTTGAGCCAGACCAACTGTCGGCAGCTGCTGTGAATAGCATCTAAAGTGTGTATGTGCATGCAGGTTTAATGTGGGAAATTAATAGTGTTGACGCTACACTGATTGAAAATGAGGTCAGGCATGTTAAACAAATTTGTAAGCTGTTTTGGAGTTGATAAAGGTCATTTGGTGCAGCACACCTTTAAAACCCATTACTTTACATTGTAATGGAGTTGGAACCTTGATCTAATCAGTTTAAAAACAACAGCAACAACAAAACGGAGAGCCAAAGACAGCTGTGGTTTATATACTATTAGATATGACATAATATACTAATATGATATAAATGGCAAGAAGGGGGGGGGGAAAGCATTTTGTTTCTAGGACACACTTAAAGAATTATCTCATAAATGCAATAATATGGCGCCAAATCCTGTAACATAAAGTGTGAACCAAAAATATTCGATAAATAATTGTTTCCTATAATTCTCTAATGTTATAATTGTTTAAAAAAAAAAAAAAAAAAACGACATACCAGATCCCTTTTGTTATTTTTTTGTTTTTAGTTTTAAATAAGGGGGGGGGGGAAACATTTTGCATCTAGGACACACTTAAAGAATTATCTCATAAATGCAATAATATGGCGCCAAATCCTGTAACATAAAGTGTGAACCAAAAATATTCGATAAATAAT